CCCCGAACTCGGTTTCATCGCGGTGAAGTAAGTTCAGCGACGCTCCTGTTAAGACGCGAGCAAGTCGCGACTTCTCTTAACTGGGGGTGGGGGAAGGGGGCTAAAACCGAGTTGTGCAAAGAATAACAAAAAGAACATTGTTCGTATTATATGCCGCAGTACTCAAACAAACTACATCTGCTCCACGATAATCGAATAAATTGGGGTAGTATAAATTTCGAAAAATTAAAAAAAGAAAACAGCCTGGAAAGATGCCAATTCTTTCACCATTTAACTAAACAATTTCTAATCGTGTAAACATAAAACAATGCGAAAAATTAAGATTAAATTGACGTCGAAAATAACATTTTCAAATTGTAAAGAAGTTAGTTTTAAAGACCCTTAAAAATCGTAAGCATTTATTAAACAATTTGCAAATTTTTTCCTGTGCTAATTAAATATTTGCAAACTATACAATTTTAGAACAAAATATTACTTGAAACTTGACTTCCCAACTCGTTTATTCATAACGCATTTCTATTTCGTTTTAACATCGATGTTTACCGCTTCACTTCAGTTGTAAACGTAAAAGCGCAAATTAACACGTTAAATAAGATCCGAATTTAAGTTGAAAGCTGAAGCACTGATCCGCACGGCGAATAAAATCGGGAAGACCGAACATTAATCTTTCCGCGGCAAAATATCCAACAAATTCATTAAAAACGAAATCACGGGAGCAAAAAGCGGGGAGCATCAAACAGATATTTCAGAGAGGTCGTAATTTGCCATTGCCAGGCTTGATAGCGCGGTTATACGTGTCGAGCGACGCATAAAACCACAATAAATCTCACTCAAATAACAAATCCCGCCCATATTATCGAGTAATACATGGATATTCCGATAGGTTGTTCTTCACGGTCGTGTAAATCTCGTATGGATGATGCGAGGGGTAAAAAAAAAAGAGAGAGAAAGATGTGGTGGAAATAAAGCGTGGAGAGAGAACTCTTTCATAATCGTAGAAATATCTGAACGAAATAATTCAGGATTAAAATCTATAAAGAAAGGGGAATAGAACCAAATCTGATCTCGTGAAGCTCCTGGAAAATATGCAAAAATTAATATGTCGATAATTACAGGCGGTTGACGTGCGCCTTTCAAATATGACCACTTCAAAAAATCAATATACCTATGTGATTATATATAAATACATATAATGTATCATATCACATGACGTGGTGAGAACATGATCGGTATCGTACGTTGTGAATGTAAGATATAGACAAGGAGTACACTTTGTACTTCTTTTGCGCTTTTTATATCTCTTGTCTCTTAGAGCCAATTTCACCAACGTCGGTTGACTGTGATCTTCGATTAAACTCACTCTTCATCTCTTTTTAACTGCCCCCTTAGAAAGAGACGAAGAGTGAGTTTAACCGAAGGTTACAGTTAACCGACGTTGGTGAAACTGGCCCTTATAGGAGTTATATCGGTTTATATACCGAATGCGAGAGTGTCCAAACACTCCATTCTCGTTGCCTCATACGTGCACTTTGCGAATGTACAATAGAATAAGCGATATCACGCATGATCTAGCGCCGATGTCGGGCTATAAAGTATTAAAGGATAACAACTGCATATATTGGTATCTGCGTAAGAGCGCACGTCAGTTGCGCAAAATTTATTCGTGCCGGTGCGCAGATTAACCTTGGGAATATCAAGCCGCGAAATGTACACGATGTAAACACCAACTATTATTGGGATGAAGTTTACCAGAAAATACGAGTATGTTGCGTGAACTATTACAATTAAAAGTTTCCAAGCGCATTCGGTATGCTTAATATTAGTACAGTTAAAAGAGATTTATTATACACGATATATACGAGTGTTACAGTGTGTTACTTAATGATAAAATAATAAATATTTAATGATAAATATTCGCAATTATATACAAGCCAGAGTTAAACCGTTTGTCTCTTTTGCGGTATGTCATGTAATTGAAAACGTAATTTATCAATTTCCGTATTATCAAAGATATTCTGGCGTATGTTACATCTACATTTGCGTCACATCGTGAAAAACAGGAAACTGATAAGTATAACAGCATATCAATTATAGTCGCTTTTCTATTTTCATTCATCTAAAATTTAAAATGCACTTATCGGCAGGAAGAGTCTTGTTGTCATTTTATTACATATACCGAGATACTGATAATGTGATTTTCAACGTCCGCATTGGATATCGGAAATACGCATATTGTGTGTCGCAAATATATGTATATGCGAATATTATCTATCATTATAATGTATCATAATAATAATTAATAATTAATAAACAATTTGATGTATATTTATCATATATGTAATAATATTACAAGACAAAAAATTATAGATGCCTAAATATGTATTAGCAAAAATTATTTTATATGATTACACTTTCTTATTCTGCGATATATCTTCAATCTTTAATCATAAAATTACTGTCGAGTGATATTAAAATTCGATTAGCTTTAATGTATCCAAGATATAATTATCCACGAAATTGAAAAGAAAACTAAAAAATGTTCTTTTTTCAACAAGAAATTTAGCAGCGCAAGATATAAAACAATTTGTCGTGTACTACAACCGTAACTACAACCGAATGTGATGCTACGTATTTGCACAATTACTTATTTAGTAATAAATATGGTAAATACATAGTATTTATTAACAAATATTGAAGTTACATCGTAATAATAATTGAAATAACAATTAAAAAGATTTTCGACGAATAAATCGGAAAATAAATCTTTTCAGCAAGAGATCAACTACCTAAAAGTTTTTCCTGGGGGCAAACTACTTTTTCCGGCGCGAGTAAACTTGTACTGGCAACGCCCCGGCCGTAAGAAACCGTTGTTTCCGCGACAAGATATCTTCCACGCTCTCAGAAACGTTCCCTGCAAATTCGACGAGTTTCTCGACAAGACGTTAGCCGTAAGAAGCTAGCAGACCGACCCGGTTGTTCCTGACCTGAGCAATTCGTTACTACCCCCTCGCCGCCCTCGTCGGCGCTGTTCCTTCGTTACTCGCACTTATATGTATATATATATACGCGATACTAATTTCCCAGATCCCATGAAACCCACGGTTGATTTCTCCGCGATTCGTATTTTCGGGGCTTTTTACTATCACGCCGTGCATCCGGGAAGATAATATCGTTACAATTTTACAAAAAAATTTACGATTTGCTATCATCTCGATTATCTCGATTGAAGCGACCAAAGTAAATACGTAGATAAACCTATATCTAGAGGTATAATTATGACGCGTAAACAGCATTAAAAACTTTTATGGAATAATGTTAGAAAACAATCTTCAAAAAATTGATTGTTCCAAATTATTAAATATTTGCCTAAGTAAAAGATGATTTATATAATTTAGATATCGCAAAATATTCGATAATCAACATCGCCGGTCAGCCAATTACGTTAGAAGACGAAAGTTTTATTTTTCTTTTTACCTAAGCGTAATGACAATCAAGGTGAAATGCGCTAGCAGAATAGAAATGTTTCTATCGTTTAAAAGTACGAGATAATTTAGACGCGTCAGCAGCGAAATGCTGTTCGATCAAAGTTGATGGCGAATTCCGGATTTCCGTGAACGATCAAGCCGTGGACCGTGATTTCATTTTGCATTTAGCTGTATCAGCTAATGAGATCCCCGCGACGTCCCCGGAGATTATGGGTAATGCATCGCCCGGAGGCCCGTGCCCGTGCCGCTGCGTTTCGCTCGGCAAAAGTTTACTCGACAACATTTTTCCTCGTATCGCAATTATTAGTATATTTCGTTCGGTGCTCCTGGCGGCTTTTGCACGGATTATCCGCATTATTCAAATTCTCTTATCCCGTGTTTGATGAAACCTTTTCGTCAACCTTTTCCCTTGGAAACGACAACGCGAGGCGTTCGGGTAAGACTTAATCATCCGCGCTCTAATTCCGTACAGGACCTCAATCTCGGTATAAGAACTCGGATTGCCAAAACAGACGATACGCATATTACTGTATACATTTTCGCGGGACAAAGGGTTTACTTAATCTCTTTAATGTCTGTCAATGCGCCTCTCCGTTAAGCTCGAACGCCAGGATTCCTCAACGTTCTTGCGCCGGAATTATTTCCTGACTAAATTGAGCTCTAAAATGTGCCCTCGTATAGTAGGACTATGCAAATTCCTGTGCACATCAGTTAAAAGCCGGTAATAAATGGAACCCATTTCGAGCGCGTGATTTCGACGATAAAGGGAAAATAGTAACGTGCGGAAATGATCTCCTTTCCGAACGGTTAGAGGAGTTTCCTACTACAATAAACATTGGCGACGATGATAATAGCAGCTATGTAGACACATACATTCCGTAAATTGAAAATCGATATCGAAATCCTGTGCACCTTCAATGAGGCTTACGAGTTTCATAGGGTGGTAAGAGCAAATAGTCTTCGATTTAACAATTTTTATAAAAGGACCCATTTCAAGCGAAAAGATGTGAGAAAAGCGGATTCCGATTGAGTGGTATGAAGCTAAAAAAAAAGAGGTGCAGCTGTTAAGTGGGCCGTTTGACAAAAATAAAAAAAAAAGAGATTCAAACGACTCCAAGTATTTTTATAACGTGTACATTTCAACGTTTGCATGTTTTTACACTTGGCTGATTTCCCATCGAGTCAAACAAATGGAATTAACGTCTACGTAATAGATATTTAAGGCAGCAAAACTGATCGTTAAAAGTTATCACACTTTCAAGTTGATTGTTACGTAGTATAAATCCGTTCGATAATAAATAAACCAAGACAACAGATTTTTCTCTCAAGAAACTTGGTGCGCGTTTAAATTTCGCCCGTTATTTATTCCAGTAGCTTTCCTCTTCGAAAAGGTCAAATTCGATTCTATTGTGCCATACAACCGCGAGTATAATGCCGGAAGCCAATCTCGCTAACACATATTCTCTCACTCCGTGATTCGATAATACGACAATCGTGTCGATAGGCATCACTTACCGGCCTGCTGTTGAGCGTGAATGAGAGGTGAACCGGTGGCTTGGAGGGTGGCAAGCTGCAATTTGCCCTCAACATGTCTCCCGGGTCGTAGCGATCGCGTTCCGATACGATAACGGGCTCTTCACGGGGCAGAACTGAAACATAATAATTTCGCGGGTCTCTCTTATAGTCATTGTCGACGAAACTCGTGCACGGCGGCGCGGGCGGCACAGCGGTACGCGGGGGGTGCGGGCGCCGTAATCGCTCCGTTTCCCCGTGCTCGCCCGCCGAACTTATCCAATATTCAAGCGCCAATGAGGAGACCCCGTTATGTCGCCAGCTTTATGCGCTTCCGCGGAGTACAATGGGGTACGTGTATTGCGTAATCCAAGCGACGCCATCCTCAGAAGGCAGTTACGAACGCGTAACCGTGGAAAAATATTAAACGCGGTACGTGGATATTGATTTTGCCGTTGGTATAGCGCGAATCGGGTAAACGCGGGGCATTGCACTGCAAAGACAATAGCTGCAAACTGAAACTGTGATTAAAAGCTTGTTTGTTCTGCAGCAAAATGAAGTGTCCGCGTGAATAGAACCGGCTATTGCCGCCGCACAGATAACGGACCTGTGTGAAGTAATAAAGCAAACTTTGTATTGGAAATTCACTAATCGTCGTGATACTTGAAACAGGAAACGCCGAACGTAACACGCCGAAGTAATCTAATTAAAAAAAAAAAAAATTCCAAACATACACGTGTATCTCGGATGTAAAACGAGAATCTCTTACAAATTCAACAATTGAAAAAATAATTATCATCAAAATTGTTGATGTAATTTTGTTTAAACGCAATCATCACTATACTACCTAATTACATGTTACATGTATAAATGTCATTCTTAAATAATGTATAACGCAACAGCAATTATTTGAATTTATTGCCGATTTGATGTTTATACGTATAAATGTCCAAATACGCGTTACATACAGATTTCAATTTCGTTCGTTGTACAAATACTTTTGGAGAAATTGGATGCGCTGGAAACGGATCGTCAATTTACAAAGCACTTGAACTTTATCACTGAGCTATCAAAAGGTCCAGAGCGTCTAAAGATATTAAATGTTCGCTGCATGCTTCACTCAGAAATAATAAAAAAAATCTACAAATGTTTTTTACGCGTATTTACACCGCAGAAAAGATCTTTACTTGCCCATTATACATGTATAGAATGCATTCATTATGCATAATTATGCATAATGACAGCAAAATTATAATAAAAATTATACGTGGATTATATTTAAAAAATCATTTTAATTGCGTTTATTTTATTAAAATATGCCGATTTGAAGTGAGAAGTATATGTATATGTCGACCTCGATTAATTTCCAAGCATGGAATGCTGCTGGAAAATCATCGCCGTTCATTTCACCATATGCTAATCAGTGATCCGCAATTCATACATTCAGGCTAACTTGTGCCCATATTAAAAGAGCTTATTATCACATTTTAATGTGGCGTATTTAGTCAGACATTCATCGAGCCCGTATTACAATACATAATTTAATTCTTTGAATAATTTAAAAATTCGAATCAAACAGATTTCAGTGTTACATGTTTTTCTATTAATAGACATTTCTCAATAATACCTGAAATAAATAGACTGGACTCATTAAAGCGAGAAAATTAAACATGCATGCCATGAAATCTGCAAATATCTCTCGCGTGTCATATATTTATAGAGTTAAAATTATTTAATGAAAACTAAGTTTGACGGTATTAACAAAATCGTAATAAAAACGGGACGTCAATTCATTCATTATATGCTGAATCGAGAATTTGTTAGAAGTTGTTCTATACTTGGCTCCAATATCTTAATGATTTTCAGCGCCGTCGTCTCTTTATTCTAATAATAATATTATGATAAATATAGAAGATGTTTCGAGATTCTCAATCGATTCACTTCGATAACGCGTTATAGTATCCTCTCAACTTGGATTTTTCTCACATTCTTAACTATACGGACTTCGTATATGTGTGCTTTATACAGCAAAGCACACACGAAGCCAACGTACTTGAGATGAAACCGGAAGCTATTGCTGGTAAGTCAAGTGAAAGGAATAACCGTGAAGTCTCCTAAGATCAGCTCGAGGCGCCGATAAACCGACGACTCGTAAAACGATAGAACGATTAATCGAATCTCGGTTACGTTGCCACGTCCCGTCAATGAATAGCATCGAGCAAGGTGCAAAAATCGATAAAGAAGCATGATAAAGATACCGAAACAATCGCTATTCTCCTCGCGCAATGCGAACGGGAATTCATGAATGGCTGATATTTAATATCAGTCCTTATTGTACGAAGAAAAAAAACGCTTAAATAGAAAATCTGAGAGATTCAGAAAAAGTACAATGTAGAACTCGGAACTCCCTTTGTTTCGTAGTAAATTAAATCGTTGTTCGAATATAAATATTAAGTATTCCTGATGAATTATGATATAACGAAAATTACATGACGTAGCATATTATCGTGCGCGAGAAATTTTCAACTTTATTTTCTTCTTATTAACGAAAGCTTTATTACTGTCTATTGTTGTAAAAAAATTCATAATTATGACTTGTACTTTTCCTTGAACTTTCATTAAAAAAGTAACAGAATGAAGAGTAAAAGAAAAAAAATAACGCGCGACCGTCAGATATCGCAGAATTACGTGATGAAACTTTTACTGTGACATAAAAGAAGTCTATCTATTTTGTGCTGAGTTTTCCTTGTCCTATTTAAGTAAATTTTTCGATTAAGTCTTTTGATATCGATTTATTACTGCGCTTCTATCCGCAGTACAAATTCTAACACGTTATGCTACGCTGCCGTTATGACAAGAGAAAATCGATATCAACGAAGGGAGGTAACGTTCAGGAAAATTCAAGTGAGAATACAATTTTCCTTTAAGAACGTGAAAACTGCACCGGGACAAGATTCGTTTACTCTATGAACATCTTGCGATGCTATCGTAAAATATGAAATGCATATCCTTTCCGAGCTGCAGATAGTTCTACTTATCCAGAGATTCTCTGTCTGGATTCGAATGCCACTAATAAAGAAAGTGATCCGCAGATATCATGTCTCTGCCAATCGTAACGAATTGCGGACACCATCGTGATCGATGGAAGATTGTATGGTAGAAATGGATTCTTCGCAAATCACTACCATCGCGTTGAATATTTTTTCCAAGTGTCTATCAGTCTTGCACGAAAATTCGGTAATCATCTTAGATGAAAAAATATATAGGAAAATATTGATCGGAATAATGTAGCTAGAGTCTAGACAGTATCAGAATTAAAATAAAGAGTAAAAATAAAACAATGGAGGCAAGTTTTTTACGAAGACTCTGTCTGCTGAAAAATAGATGTGATACATTTACAGCAACTCGATGAAAAAGAAGAAACCTTTAAATATTTGACAGAGAAGCACCGGGAATAGACGGAGCAAAAGATAAAATCCGAAGTATCTTATCCTACTAAAAAGAAAAGATAAGAATGGCTGGGCAATAGTTATAAAATGAAAAAAGAAGATTTTTCCAACACTAGAGGACATTTATATATAGAAAGTAATAAACCGATAAATGGATAAAATTCATATAACGTAGTCTCGTTTTTAACCAATTAATTACAGTAAATCAATGAAGCGTTATTGTCGTAAATATTTGATATAAAGGTGACGAAAATAAATAAGAACCTCTCTATCCTTGCTTCGGAATATAAAAACAGATTATCTGCAAATAGTCTAAATTTTAAAGTAGACTAATTTAGAACGGTCCCTTCACAAAAAGATGCACTGAATTGTTTCATTCACAAATAATTGTGAATAAAGTGTTATTCTAAGTTAATATATTTACAAAAGTTTTTATTTGCTATCACTGCGAAACATTTTCAAAACATTTTATATAAATGCATTCGCCTGCGTTTGATGGTTGGGATATTGGATGATATGACTGATCCTTGAATTTTGTAGATTGAAATGGCCAACGGTTGCCAGAAATTTCGACAGCCATCGCGCATCATTCGATCATCAATCTTGTTCTCCGCTTATCGGAAGTCAATTTCAAAGTTGGAATGACATACTACCACATATAGAAATTTTTGATGACTACCGTCCCATATGTTCCCGTAAATGAAAAGACTGTGCCAATTAAACGTGACGCATATCTTCAATTAAAATGACGATAGTACCTCGGTATAACAGTTAATTGGCGTAAAACTCTTGCTTTGATATTATTTAAAAATACCTTTTACATGTACTAACTAATTAATATTGCAAGAAAAAACATTAACACAGTGTAAATTAGATCATGTTATAAAACTTCGATCTATGTAACATTTTATCGGATGTTTCTGTGTGTTAGAGAAATATTTCTATATCTTTTATTTTCCAAATTTAAAACAATTTCAGCAGTAAATCTACTTAATATTGCACATTATGTAAGGCAAAAAATTAAATCTTATATTTAAATTTATTTTTGTTTTAAAACATTTTACAAAAACCGTTATTGAAAAAGAGAAAATTTAATTAAGCGCTTCCAATAAAAGTATTATGCGCTGGATAACGTAATGTAACAACGTAAATTCCTAATGGATATTTTATTCGACGTTATAATGAAAGAACTGCTATAGAATTTCTATACACAAAGTACAATCAAACATTTTTCAACAATAACGTATTTTAACGCGTTTCTACGTGGAAAAAATATCTTGGAAATTTGCGAGAACAAAACTGAATGAAAATTCAGAGGTGAGAATTTGTGTGAGACGATTCAATCATGCATTTGTCGGTGCATTGAGAGGAACGTGCTTAAGCAGAATTACAAGCGATTTCGATATAGTGTTCACTATTCTCGAGCGTTATATTAAGGTCTGACTCTATTTTACATTCATGAGAATATTAGAGCGTAAGAGCGCGAATACGTAGAAATTTCGTTATTAACATACATGCGCAATTTTCTTGATAAGCAACTTCACCTTGTATAAAATGAAATTGTACAAGATTTTCCAAAAGCGATTTTGCGTTAAGTGGAATATTACGTTTTACGGTACATCTTACGTAGCATTTCGTATTACTGAGAAATATTGTCGTCATAAATAAATGATTAAAAAATAATAAAT